AATCAAAAGATAAATAAGATAGGAATAGTGCCTTCATGGGCACCAATTATAGTAAAGGGAGAATAAATAAATATAGACCAATGTTACAAAGTAAAAGAACTCAGAAAGGCAATAAAATATACTGTAAATTAGCGAAGTAACAGATACCCTGGTCAGTATGTTGCTTCCCAATATACCCTGATCGGTATATTGCTTCCAAATAATTAAAAGTGGCGATCGATCAGCCAAAATGAAGTTGTTATGCAGGTACTTAAAGCGGTTGTCACATTATAATGGGTATGAGGTCTAAACCGCAAACCGCAATGAAATTATCATGGGGAATAAAGGGATGCAAATAATGATAAGAATGGTGTCGGCACAGTGTCGAGCCCGACGCGCGTTTCGCCAGATTTAGAGGCTCGTCAGGGGGGGGGAGTCTGATAAGAGGTTCATTAGTGAAAGGATTTACCAGATTAATAATACAAACATCTACATTGTTCTGGTAAATACTACCCTATCAATAAAAAAATTAATTGTGTGTTATTCGCATAAAGTATATATATATATATATATTAAAAAAAATCTAATGTTAAGTCTGTCCACTGAATCATCCTCGTATCTGAATTTATTGACTAGCTATAGAGAGACAGGATTTCTCAATCTGATAATGAAATGACAAGGTACAAGGTCTGTAGTCTAATAAAACATACCAAGGGAAGATCGGGGACTGCATAACAGAACACAAACCGCTTTAATCCCATCTCCCTCAACCACTGCAGAACATATCATGCTTCCTGTCTGGAGTCCTTACAACTGAGGTGTCTGCAAAAAGTAGTTTTAAATGATCCCTCCCTGGAGCTAGGGAGGCTATTGAATTCTTCAACAACTGTCAAACTAGTGTGACCAGTATGCATGTACAATGTTAACGAACATGGCTCTCTATCTGTGCACATAGCGCAGTTCACAAAGCTGGGAATGTGGCTGTGAATACAGTGATAGCAGGCTTTTTAAGCAACTTACTTCAGAACCTTAAATCTGCTTTGTTTTTTGCCTATTGTTTTAAATTAGGTATTGTTATTGCATGCTTTTAATGCTACAATCATATACTTTATATTACATTTGGTTGCATCCAGTACCGCAAACATGCAGACTGAAAATTATTTAAAGATACATTTGACTTTTTTTTTTTTGGCAGGGGGGTGGGGGAGCAAATGACAAACCGAGAATACTAAGACAGAAGTTTTGAGATCAACTTGAGAAACCAAGATGTACCTGTCACTATGACGGTCTTCCCCTTGAGGCTGGCGTTGCTCTTACATTGCTTCCCTCTGATGAAGTTATAGTAGATTAGGACATAAGCACCTACTGAAATCCCAAACACCAGGAGAAAGGTAGCCATGGCTTCTACAGGCTCTGGGGGAAAAAAAAAAAGGGATTAGAAAATAATGCCAGATGGTTATGTGACTGCACAAGAAAGACTGAGAGCGTTCTATCTCGAGCTTGTTTATGTGGTAAGAATACAGAGTTGTATATACATATTATGCTCCTTATAAAGCTCTAATAAACGATTAGACTCAGATCAGAGTGATACTTGCAACGTTCTAGAATCCTCAGATCCAAGCACGCAGAGTGCAGCCGGAAAGAACTTATCGCTGCCCTTCTAGGCTGCAACAATAATTTGAGCATTACACAACAGCTTTAAAAGCAGATTAACTACGGCGGCCCTTAGGTGGCAAACATAGTGCGTTTGCAATTTGTTTCTGGTGACATGCTTTCACAAATTCCATCTCTTTCTGGGGTTCCTTGAAGTCTTGGTGGAAGTTTTCAGTCGTGTAACAGATGTTCCGAACGAATAAATGCTGCTATGAAACTATCTGCCTATATATTTCTATGATATTCTAAAACCAGGGAAACATAGATTTATTATAAATGTAAAGTAGGACATTTTGTCATCAGTGGCCTCTCCAGGAGTTCTCAGTATGTCACATGGAGCTTGGACCCCGCTTTGTCTAAGCAACTGCAATTCAGCAACGTAGTGTATTGATTTATTTATTATTCTATAGGGTCAGGGAATTTGATCACAGTTTGTTCTACTGCCCTGTTTCACAGTGCTCTGCCAACCTACCAACATTTCAAATGGACAGAGAGGGACACTTTCATTTTAGGGGTGTGGGTGGTGGTAGGGCCAGGGCTGATCTGGGAAATTTGAGGTGAGCTAATAATAATTTATGTCAAGGAAATGTAGTTTAAAACAAAATATCTTATTTACACAGACTGATTTATAAATAATTTATTGTAGTTTTTTTTTTATTGTAATCCTCTGCTTTAATGGCCGTAAGAGTGTCCCATTGTCTCTCTACAGCTAGTGATGAACGCCTCTGATAGACTCATCTAACCTATGTCCCGCAACTCCTAAACCTCAGCGCTCGGTCAGTCTCTGCACTGTCCTCTTGTTTCATTTAGAATTCAGTTCAAAGCTCTTCATAACTGTGCCCCTCTTTATATTTCCTCCTCTTTGCAGATTGTTTTAGCTTCACGACCTGTTACTGTCCTGTTCGCCGACCTGCTATTGTTCTGTTCTTATACCCACCCCCCAGGCAGTAGACAGCAGGACTTCTCGATGGCTGCCCCTTAACTTCTCATCCTATAACCTTCCTCTGCTCTCTCCCAAGTATTGTGTCCACACCTCCCAATCACCTACCTTGAGATTTATCCAAATCATTTAAGTCCCTCAAATCCCTCTGGATATTTGTCCCTCATTCATTTAGATTGTAAGCTTGCTTAGGCTCTACATCTTCTGTTCTTGAATGTCAAACATGTTTTGTCAGAATGACCTTCCTCACTGACACAGTCAGAGGCGGATTAACATAGGGGCTGATGGAGCAGCAGCTTCAGGCCCAGGCCATGGAATAGGCCCATTGATTTAAAAAAACACACTACTCTTAGGGATTCCACTTGGCTTTTATTTTATTGGCACAGCCAGTATTTGAGGTTGCCTGGCTAGTGCCAATATTGCAGTCATACTGGCAATACAAATGCTGGAATTTTTCTCAGTATAAACAGAGATTACTATGCAATACCAGCACTGGCCAGTAGGGGTCGCTGTGTGTGGAGAGAGGCAGGGATAGGAAGTTCCAGCATATCCCTAGTGCCTTTCTCTATTCACTGATCTGCAGGGGAGCATCTACATATAGTCCACACAGCAACTCCCACCGTGCAGACACAGCCTACAGCTCAGGGAAGTGAGGGATGGGGGGAAAGGCTGCAAGGAGACATGGGGACACTAAGGGATATTTGGAGACATTGTGACACAGAGACACATGGGGACCCAGTGTCCCCATGTCTCCCAGTGCCCCTAGTTTCCCAGTGTTCCCTAGTATCTCAGTGTCTCACTGTCCTCATGTCTCCTAGTGCCCCCATGTCTCCCAGTGCCCCAAGTGTCTCAATGTTCCCATGTCTCCAAGCTAGTGCCCTAGTGTCTGTGGCCCTGGTGTCTCAGTGTCCCCATGTCTCCCAGTGCCCCCCATGTCTCAATGTCTCCATGTCCCCCAGCCATTGTCTCTAGTGTCTGTGTCCCCATGTCTACTGTAAGTAGTTTTTTGGTGATTTTACAGCATTTTCTCTTATGTCACTACTTGTGATTTACATCATGTGATGTCACCCATACATAATAATTATGCAAATTAGTAAGGCCAGTATGTTTTTCCAAGAAAAGTGGCAACCCTAACTACTTTTCACATACTCTTGCTTAAGTATGGAAACTTAAGAGGGATGTATGGGAACAAAACTTATGTGGACTGTCTGACAATGAATATAGTTAAGGTAATGCTGACTTTGGTCTCTCTAACACTGTGGCATGTTCCCTTTCTTCTACACTCACTACATACAGCTTTCCTCTGTCCCAGACTGTATACCAGGAGCTTCTGCCTGCTAGTAAGAAGGTAAGGAGACAAGTGGACCAGCGAGTGGTATGGGACACTGCGTTGAGCGAGCACATCATTAGACGTATTTATGCCAAGCTCAGGGTGCTGTCTGCATAGTATGCCCTTAGGCAGGCAGCCTGATATGCATTAATGCCAGGCTGGGCTTCCAGTTCTTTGGGCAGACATTTTTGGGCATGCTTGCCCCAGGGAACATGCCATAGTGTTAGAGAGAGACCAAAGTCAGCATTGCCTAAACTAATTTCATTGTCAGCCAGTCCACACAAGTTTTGTTCCCATACATCCCTCTTAAGTTTCCATACTTAAGCAAGAGTATATGAAAAGTAGTTAGAGTTGCCACCCTTCTTGGAAAAACATACCAGCCTTACTAATTTGCATAATTAATTATGTATGGGTGACATCACATGATGTAAATCACAAGAAGTGACACAAGAGAAAATGCTGTAAAATCACCAAAAACTACTTACAGTTTGATTCTGCTGTATAGATGGATTGCTCCCAGTGTCTCCCTGTCCCCCAGTGTCTCAAGTCTCCCAGTGTCTCAGTGTCCCCATGTATCAGTTTCCCCATGTCACCCAGTGTCTCAGTGTCCCCTAGTCTCCCAGTACCACCATGTCTCCCAGTGCCCTCTGGACCCCAAGTCTCACAGTGTCCCAGTGTCCCCTAGTCTCCCAGTGGCCCTATGTGTCACAGTGTCTCAATGTCCCATGTCTCCCAGTGTCCCCTAGTTTATGTGTCCTCATGTCTCCCAGAGTCCCCATGTCACTAGGACACTAGGAACACTGAGAGACATGGGGACACTGAGACAGGGGACATTGGGAGACCTGGGGACACTGAGAGAAATGGGGACATTGAGACACCTGGGGCACTGGGACACATGTGAACACAGACACTAGGAGACCTGGGGACACTGAGACACTTGGTGATACTGGGAGACTTGGGGACACTGAGACACCAGTGACACTGGGAGACTAGGGGACACTGGGAAAATAGGGGACACTTGAAGACATGGGGACACTGAGACACCAGGGACACAGACACTAGGGACACTGGCTGGGAGACATAGGGATATTTAGACACTTGGGGCACAGGGAGACATGGGGACACTGAGACACTTGGGGACACTGAGAAACATGGGGACACTTGAAGACATGGGTACACTATGGACACTGGCTGGGAGACATGGGGACACTGTGTCCCTAGTGTCTCAGTGTCCCCAAGTGTCTCTGTGTCCCCAAGTGCCTGTGTCATAATGTCTCCCAATGTTCCTTAGTGTCTCAGTGTCCCCATATCTCCCAGTGTCCCCAAGTGTCTTAGTGTCCCCAAGTGTCTGTGTCATAATGTCTCCCAATGTTCCTTAGTGTCTCAGTGTCCCCATAGCTCCCACAATGTCACTTGCAGGCTTTCCCCCATCCCTCACTTCCCTAAGCTGTACGATGTCTCTGCAGGGGGGGAGTTGCTATCTGCACTCTCTGTAGCTGCTCCCCTGCAGATCAGTGAGTAGAGATAGGCAGGGGGGGATATGCTGGAACTTCCTATCCCTGCCTCTCTCCACACACACAGCGACCCCTACTTGCCAGTGCCGGTATAGCATCGTAATCTCTGTTTATACTGAGAAAAATACCAGCATTTGTATTGCCAGTATGACTGCAATATCGGCACCAGCCAGGCAGCCTCAAATAACAGCCAGGTGAAAACCCTAAGAGTAGTGTGTAAAAAAAAATTATATATATATATATATATATATATATGTATTTTTTTTTGTTTGTTTTTTTTGTTTTAGTCAATTGGCTTATTTCATGGGCATAGGCCTGGAGCTACAGCTCCATCAGCCCCTATGTTAATCCGGCCCTGGCTCCCCTTGACACCCTGAAACGCTTATCCCTCCTACACACATAAGCCCCTAAAAAAGAGGTAGTCTTGTGTTCATGGAAGTATTTAATTCAGTCAGTGTGTCAACGAGTCAAATAGAGAAGGGCATGTTGAACACTGCATTGTGGGTGTTCCTCCAGGAGGGCCTGGTGGACTCACAATCCAAGCAAAGAAAACAAAACATTTTCAAACTCTGCTAACTCCACTAATTTGGCTTGTAATTGTTGCACGACCGATGAATTGACCAGTCAGAGGCTTCTTATTGAGAATCCTCTGTGGTTTAGCCACATGCGACTTTTCATTCACACTATGCAATGAGTTGTAGTACAGCTCATTATAAAGTATTAAAATACGCACTCTGGCTTAGTGGAGCTCACAGAAGCAGAAGAAATCCTCCCTGAATGACTGCAGTGCTTTATATGTTGTGTTCCTTTAATAAAGAAAAGTGATTATATGCACTGGTGGACCGTTGCTTTTAAAGGGATACTATAGTGCTAAGAAAACAAAGTTGCTTTTCTAGCACTATAGTGACCTCAACCCCTCCTCCCGTGGTGCTTAAGGGGTTTTAAAACATCAACATAAAAAAAAAATTACAGCCGTAGCACAGACTTTTCAATTAGCAGAGTATAATGTTTTCTTTTTTGGCAAACTTTTTTTTTTTAATATATATATATACTAATTTCTACAGGTAGTGAACAGATTGTAGTACTTAGGAGCAGGTGTGCTTCTGTGTGTAGAGTTGGTGTTTGCAGCATATTTTTTGCATTTTAATACAGGGATGTGTTTGGATGTGATGTTTGCATTTGCGTGTAGAGGTATGTTTGGATGTAGTGTTGGATTTTTAAATGAGGATGTACATTTGTGTGTAGTATTGGTGTTTGAGTGTATGTATATAATTTTAGAGTTAAAGTTCAGGGGTGTCTTTGTATGTCATGTTTGTGTTTGCAGGGGTGTGTGTTGTGCTGGTGTTTTTTTTTGTTTTGTTTTTAAAAAACTGTTCTTTATTAAATTTTCACATAGTTAGATAACAAAGTCATCCAGTCAAACAACACCAATAGATAATTCATAGATAAGAACCATAATTGATTTTCCATCTGTAATTTATCTAAATATCTTAAGTTATATCTTATATATGAAAACTATTCCTACAAAGGACAAAGACATAGACAAGGCCTGCACAACCAAGTGTAGGTCCCCTCACCATATTTAAAAAAAATTAAGAGATAGAGAGGTAAACATTAATCCTATCAGGATACAATCGAAACCAAGGATCCTATATCTTTTTAAATAAGCCAAATCTTTGAAAAGCCGAAAAATTACCTTTTTCCATCATACACTGACAATGTATTTGATTCACTACCACTATCAGAGGGATTTCTTGTTTTTCCTTCCACATTCTTGAAATGACCAGTTTCATAGCCATAAAAAAACTGAATAGTCAAAAATGTGCCATTTTTATTAATGTTATCCAAGTTTAGATGTAAAATGGCTTTTTCTGGCAATACCTTAATTTTCAGCTTTAAGATATCTGAGATTATTTGAAAGAGCTTAGACCAAGTTTTATTAACAAGTCTACAAGACCACCAAATATGGACAAATGTTCCTTCACTTATTCCACACCTCCATCATAAAGCGGAATGATTAGAATCTATTTTATGCATTCTAGTAGGGACAAAATGCCATCTATGCATTATTTTATAGAGTTAAATAATTCTTGGATATTTAAACAGTGTGTAACTTTCCCAACCAGTGTCCAACTTTTCCCCATGTACTAATATCTTTCTCTATACCTAGATCTTTAGACCAAGCGGTTTGCGATATCACTTTCTTTTTGTTTTCCATAGTTTTAAGAAAATATTGAGCTTTTTAAAAAATATTTTTGTTGGAATGTGTAACAAAGATATTCTCTAGTGTTTCCAAAACCTTTGGCTTTCGTGTAGTTATAAGATGTGCTTTTATATATTTTTTAATACGAATCAAATTAAATTAATCCTGAGAAGGTATAGCAAGTTTCATTATTAATTGTTCATAGGTTTTAAGCTGCAAACCTTCTAAGAAATCTGCCATCTTTAAATTTTTATTGTTAAGCCATTTCAACTTAGTCATATCTGGAAAGTTGTATTTAATTATTTCTATAGGGGTTTGTTTTATTATCTAATCCTTTATACCTATGTTAGTCTTCAGTTTAGACCAAAAGGAAATAATATTTTTAATAACAAAAACCCCTTAGAATTATCTATGATTTTCTTTACTGTTGCATTATTCAGCCATAGGATAATATTATAATTCTTCATATCCAAAATCTTTTGCTCAATCATATACCATTCTTCTGATCTAGATGGGAATGAATGTATAGCGTGTAAATGCAACATTGCATATGTTCGACTAAAAACCCACATGTTGGGAAAACCCATTCCCCCACTAGATTTATCATCATAAAGGACCTTTTTTGAGATTCTTGGTTTCTTGTTTAGCCATATAAATTTTTCTACTGCCATTTGAAATTGTATACAAAAAAAGGAAGGAAGTTGAAGAGGGATTAATCTCAAGTTATAAAGCCATCTAGGTAATATGTAGGATTTAATAATATTAAGTTTGCCCATCCATGATATGGGCAATTCTCCCAGTTTTTTAAAAAGGTCATTTAATAGATCTTGATAATTCAAATCAATTATATGTGAAAGGTCCTTTGCGATTTTTATCCCCAAGTAATCAATACACTTATCTTTCCACATACATTGAAATTTATACCTAGGTATGCTCATTCTATCTTCATTGATTCCTACTCCCATTGCTTGTGATTTATTGATATTAAGTTTGTAATTAGAGTAATCCCCGTATATTTTGATCTCTTTTAAGAGAGCATCTATCGAGGTTTCAGGCTGGGTTAATATCAGCAGAATATCATCCGTATAGAGACTAGCTTTATTCATGGTATCACCAATAGAGATGCCCATAATTTCTTTATTATTCCTGATTCTTGCTGCCAGAGGTCCTCGGGTCATGATGTTAAAAAAAAGGGGCCAAAGGGCAACCCTGTCTGGTACCATTCCTAACTTTGAACCAGTGGGAGGAAAAGCCTTTCCCACTATCTTAGCTGTCGGTTCAGAATACAAGGCCATAATACATTTTATTATTTTATCACCAAAATTAAAACTTTAAGAATTGTCTCCAAGAAAGCCCAGTCCACCCGATCAAATGCCTTTTCCGCATCCAGAGAGAGAGTTACCATAGAGATATTATTATTCAGGGCGAAATCTACTATATCTATGATTTTTCTTGTGTTACCATATGGTTGGCGTCCACTAACAAACCCGACTTGATTTTTATGAATTATAAGTGATATTACCTTTTTAATTGTCAGCTAAAATTGCAGAAATTTTTTTATATCACTATTAATTAAAGAAACAGGTCTGTAATTAGATACCAGCTTCACATCTTTCCCTTGTTTGGGAATTGGAATAATGATTGCTTGGAGCAATTCGCTAGGGAATGGTTTATTTTCCAAGATGTCATTAAAGACCTTTGTTAGATTAGAAGAAATAAAATGAGACATTTTTATTAAAAATATTTAGAGAAGCCACCTGGGCCTGGGGATTTATTCTTTTTAAAATTCTTAATAGCATGGATGACTTCTTTTATTTCAATTGGATTTTCTAATACTTCCCTATGTTTTGTATCTAATGCTTGCATCTTTTAATTTTTTAAATAGTCCAAAATTTGCAATTCATTTTTTTTTGTTCACCTATATTATATAGGGATGAGTAATACTCTCTGAATGCAGAGGCGATTTGATCGGACGACCTACATATATTATGTTTTTTCCCCTTAGATTAGAGTTTTTAAGTTGATTAGATAAAAATGTGTCTGCTCGATTTCCAAGATAGAACCACTTCTGTTTCCATTTAGTTAAAGTTTTATTTTCTCTATCAATCTTGAAGTCTCTAATTTTCCTCTTAATTTGCTCTATCTCTATGATAATTCCTTGTTCCTTAGGGTAGATTTTCTCTAAATTATCTAATTTCAAATACAGATCTGCCAGGGATTGATAATTTACTTTTTTATTATCCTCTAATTACGCATTTGTATGCAGCCCATATATTTCCCACACTAACCTCTTCATTTAAGAGGTTCTTAACTACTCCTTAAAGTATAAGTTAGAGTTCACAATTATTTCCTCTAGTGTTCTCTTATCATTCAATATAGAGTCTCTGAGTTTCCAATTACCCCTTTTAAGGGTATAATCCATCTCAATTGCCCTAGATATTGGGTTATGATCTGATATAGTTATCTTATTGATTTTTATTTCTTTTAATTTTTTTTTTTTAAACATTCTTTATTTGTTGTTTTCCGGTGTGGAAAAAGTAAACATTAGGGTACAGAATTGAAGGAGGGTGGGGGTGGTACAGCCAAAATGGTACAGGTGCACAGTAATTTCCACACATGTGTCTTTGTGTCTCAAGGTGTTGTGAACAAGTAACTGTGTCGTGGTGTGGTCTGTTGGTTAGGCGTTTAACGTGCAGTAGTGTGGGGTTCAGGGAACTCTGTCTTGGTCTTTTTCCCTTTGCACGGTTCGTTTGGTCAAACCTGTGTTGGTGGCCGTTTGAGGTTTGCGATTTGTCTCGTTAACGTTTTTTGTGGTAGGGTGGGTTGCCCTCTTTTTGACTGTTTTTATTGTCCTCGTTGCGTACTGATGGGCGCCCATGTGTCTGGGTGGTCGGTTGGGGGGGGGGGTTGAGGACCTATGTACAAGGGTGGGGGTACCATGGCGGGATTCAGTTTCAGGTGACTGGTAGTCATCCAGTAGTTCGGGTTGGGGTAGTGTTTCGTACTTTGAGTATATTTCTTTTAATTTTTTTAACAATATCGCTATATGACATGATCATATCTATTCTAGAGAAAGAATGTTGTCTATGGGAATAGTGAGTAAATTCCTTTCCATAGGGATTTAATGTTCTTCAAATGTCATATAATTTAAATTTCCCAATAGATTTTTTCATAGATCTGGCTAAACCTCTTATTTTTGGATCTATTTTGTCATTTAAAGAGGCTTTATCTTTCTCTACATCAGCAACACAGTTAAAATCGCCTAGAAGCATGAACGTGTCCTTTATCCCATCCATATATCTGTTCATTATACTATTTAAAAAAAATGAACCTGTCTCTTGTTTAGGGCATATATGTTGAGAAATGAAAATATCGTATCGTTCAACTTACAGATCAGGAAGATTGCTCCTCCCTTAGGATCACAATGTTTATATATTAATTCATATTTAACATTTTTAGAGATGATAATGGCTACACCACATTTTTTCTTATCCTTTAAAGATGCATGTATAATATTAGGATAATTTTTTGTGATGAATATATTTGCATCCTCTCCTTTCCAATGGGTCTCTTGTACCCCACAAACATCGATGGTTTGTTTAAAAAGCCAGTCATACATAGCTATTCTCTTTTGGGGAACATTCAGACCTTGGACATTAAATGTAGCAATATTTATAATGTTTTTCATCTACATATCAAGCTAAATTCTCAAATGGTTGGGGACCATTCTCTCGGTCGTGCAGGCAAACATATAACAATATCCTAGGGGAAAAGGAAAAACCTTGAAAAAATTGTTTCCTCTAAGCAAACAATATCCAATCCCCAAAACACAAAACAATACCCCAAGAAGAAGAGGAAAACCAGTTCCTCTATACAAACACAGGACCCCAAAACCCAAATTTGGCAATGGCCCAATAGCAATCCCATGGGGGGGAGAGAAAGAAAAGGGGCATACATATCCCAGATCAGTCCTAAGTTATACAAATAAAATAGATCCCTTGGCATTAAGCGGTGAGTAATAGCTAATTATTAGCGAATTGACCATTTATCATTTGTACTATTATACCAATTTTTAGATCAGGTTGGTTATCTTATAGACCCTAAGACTGTATGGTGTTATATACCTTCCCATGCCCCCTCTAATGTAGAGATACAATATCCTTATACATTTCTAGTAAACATAAAATGATACAAAATAAGCAAGTATATCGTGTACCCTGTATTTGTAGTACGTGTCTAATATTCACACCTTCATAAGACCCCACCAGCTTGTGTTCATCCAAAAAAATAATAGCAAAGTGTCTATTAGCTCTGTTTCATCTCTCTCTTTCTCCTAACCTTTATTCTTACCCGGTCTAATTTCCAAATATTACATCTGTGGGTCTAACTCTTTATTTATTCAAACTTCTGTGACTTTTGTTTATGTGTTATACTAATATGTTATTAGTGACATAGAATTTGTAATCCTCAATTTCCATGCTTACTTAGGGCCCTTAGAGAATATATAGTGTATAAGTGTATTTTTAATAGTGGCCGATTAATCAAAGTAAATCCGTCGCTTCTTCTCCTCTACCGTAAAGAGGTTTCAATTTGTGATTGTGAGTACCATTAATATATCATTTTCACCTTTAAAAAAAAATAAAAAATAATAATAATAATATTTCCCTCTTTCCTTTCCCTTTTTGTTCTCTCCTCTAAATAACTAAATTCACATGTAAATGCAAAAACTTAATTATCCCTCTCTCCCTCCCATCCACCCCTCCCCCATTCCGTTATGTTCATGTCTGCCTTCTCGATCCTTCTGCTTTTTCCCTAGAACTTCTTCAGTATTCATTAGAGATTTATTCATCCACTCCTGCGATTGACGAGCCAAAGTAAATATCAGATTTTTTCCTTTATACATGAGAATCAAATTAATAGGAAATCCCCATCGATACTTTATGCTCTTAGTTCTAAGGACGTCAAATGTTGATTGAAATTCTCGAGTTCAGATGGAGATGTCTTGGTAGAAATGTAGATTTTGAAATTTTCTTTCCTAAGTATGAAAGTTTCTTGCAGCAAAAAAATTTTTTTGTTTTTTTTGTAGAATGAGTTGAATCTTATAACGATGTCACGTGGTACTTCGTCTGGAAGATCGCTGGGTTTTGGAAGTCTATGGACTCTTTCTATTATACTTTCACCATGAGCCTCTTGGACCTTCACGTCCTTAAAAAGTGCCATTAAATAAGGTCTAATTTTTTCTGTATCCACCTTTTCTGCAATGCCCCTTATTTTCAGATTTTTTCTTCTTGCTCTGCCTTCTGTATCTGTGAGTTGAGACTGTAGAGTGTTTATTTTTTTCCCAATTTCGTTAAATCTATTTCTCTGTTCTTGTGTTTCAAATTGAAGTGCTTCAACTTTGTGTTCATTTTCTTTAATTCTTTCATTCATTTTGGTCATTTCCTGTTTAAGGTCACCCATGTGGATTTTAAGTTCTTCCTTAATTTGGCTTAGTTGTATTTCCAGAAATTGTTTAATAAAGAGTTGCAATGCATATTCTAATTCTTTTGGTTTTGGACTTATTATTTGTGAGCTATGGGCTTCAATTCCATTAGTATCATTGATGTCTGTGGTACTAGAAGTGTTATGTTTTATCATTAGTAACCTGGGTTTGGACTCCGTTGGTTTAGGAGAAGGGAAGAATGTAGAAAGTCTTCTTTTGTTTTTTGGGGGGGTTCTCTTTTTTTCCTCTTTTTTTGAAGGTGTTTTAATCTCGGTGGCTTTTTTATTCACCATTCTGTTGTTCACCTTGAATTAGTCGTTCACCCTTACTACCCCTTTATCTGGGGGAGGATTCTTTAAGACTAACAAGGAAACTTGCTACTTCTTTATCCCACACTCAGTACTCTTTTCTTTTGAATTTAAATCAGAAGTGATTTCTGCTTGCTTTTAATCCCCTTAAGGACACATGACGTGTGTGACATGTCATGATTCCCTTTTATTCCAGACGTTTCAGGGGTTAATATTCCTTTCCAAAAGATATATAAGTATATTTTCTCACCAGGTTAACATTTATTTCAAATATGGTAAATCTCAGGGGGAGAATTTTGCTCCATTTATAGCCATAAATTGTGTCTCTTATCCATAAGGTTAAGAAATTATAACGTCTCTCCATGTTTAATACAGTTAAAATGAACTAAAATAATCGAAAAAGAGTAGCTTGTGTCCCAAAGGGAAGTTTTTTTATCTTTATCCCCCACCTAATATCCTTATCCAGCGAAATACTTAAATTGCAATACTTATTTATGAGCGCTATATAATTTAATTATTCTTTATAGATTAGGTATCTTGTTTTTACACAAAGCAGAACAGGATTAAACAGGCTGTTGTTTTAAATAATATGATTATCTGTGGATTTTCCAACTCCCAGCTCTCCCCCATGTGTACTTATCTGTCCAGCTAGAGACTCATGGCGCCAGCCTCGGAGTATACTCGCTTCAAAGTATCATTAGATTAATCTCCTTGTGAGTTGTAGGTTATAGCAGTCGCTCCTCTCTGAATTGCCGTATAGGGATTTTTGCTGTTTGACCGCTTTGAATCCTATTAATGCAACTTCGTCTCGTTGAAGTGAGAAGGGAGAAACAGACTCTCACCCTTGTAAGCAAGCATGCCTGACGCTCCGCCCACTCAGTGTCCTACATAATCCTCCCTAGGAGTTGTGCTGGTGTTTGATTGCTGGGATGTCTGTACATGTACTGCCACGTACATACTTACACATATACATACACATTAACAAACAGAAACACACCGACACAAACAGTCATATAGACACTAACACATACACACAGAGACAGACACACACTGGCACACACACATATACACACTGAAATACAGATACATACACCTTGACACACAGATACACACTCTGGCACATAGATACACCAATTGGCACACACACACACACACACACACACACACTAACAGATACACTGACATACAGATATACACACAGTGACACATACACTGAAGCACAGATACACACATTGACACAAACAAATACACACATTGACACAAACTGGTACATACACACTGGCATATACACATTAAAATTCAGATATACACACATACACACACACACACTTATATTTGCAGTCACCCTCCTGTTCACTTACCTTTCGGCAGGATGGTGACTTTCTTTAGTGCTGCTAGCTGAGGCAGGTGTGCTGCTCAGTCCCCACTGCTCTCTCTCTCCCTCCAGCCTGCACGCTCTGTCTGGGAGGAAGTGCTGTCACTTTCTACCAGCACCCCATAATACAGGGACCCAGTCCCAGTCTTAAACGGCCGTGGCGCCTGACAGGATACCTTTTTTTTTATTATGAATTCTTTATTTTTATCGTGCAAGTGTGTACAGACAAGCTTCATATGCCACAACAGCAGGGCCGTCTTTAACGCGGGGCAAACGGGGCAGCTGCCCCGGGCCCAGTTTCTCTTGGGGGGCCCGAGGCACCTGCCCCATGGGCCCCGCTGACCCCGGCGGGCGGGTGGCCGGTCGGGCAGGAAGGTGGGCACGCGAGGGAGCACTCACTGCTTCCTCTTCAGCTCCCTCGCGCACCGCACTGATGCCGGAGCCGGAAGATGACGTCATCTTCCGGCGCCGGCATCCCTACGCGGCGCGCGAGGGAGCTGAAGAGGAAGCACTGAGTGCTCCCTCGCGCACCCGCCTTCCTGCCCGACCGGCCACCCGCCCAGGAGCCCAGCAGCAGCACCACTGGACCCCAGGGAATCCCCCCAGCACTCCAAAAGGTAAGGAGGCTGGGGGGATTACATTTTTAAAAAAAAATGTGTGTTTGTGTGTATGTGTGTGTTCGTGTATGTGTTTGTGTGTTAGTGTGTGTGTGTGTGTTTGTTTGTGTGTGTGTATGTGTTAGTGTATGTATGTGTGTGTTTGTGTGTTAGTGTATGTGTGTGCTAGTGTGTGTGTGTTAGTGTATGTGTGTTAGTGTATGTGTGTGTTAGTGTATGTGTGTGTGTGTGTCAGCATGTCTGTGTGTGTGTCAGTATGTCTGTCTGTCTGTGTGTCAGTATATAAGTGTGTGTATATCTGTGTGTGTCAGTATGTGTATGTGTCAGTATGTCTGTCAGTGCGTCAGTATGTCTGTTAGTGCATGTGTATGCATGTGTCAGTATATCTGTCTGTGTGCCAGTATGTCTGTGTGTGTGTGTCAGTATGTCTGTGTGTGTGTGTCAGTATATCAGTCTGTGTGTGTCAGTGTATGTGCCTGTGTGTGTGTGTCAGTATTTCTCAGTGTATGTGGGTGTCAGTATATCTGTCAGTGTGTGGGTGTCAGTATTTCTGTCAGTGTATGTGTGTCAGTATGTTGATCATGTGTCTGTTTGTGTGTGTCAGTATGTCGGTATATGTGTCTGTGTGTCAGTATGTCTGTATATGTGCCTGTGTCAGTATGTCTGTCAGTACGTCTACCAGTGTATGTGTCTGTGTGTGTGTCAATATATGTACCTGTGTCAGTGTGTCTGTCAGTGTATGTGCCTGTTTATCTGTATGTAGTCAGTGTATGTATCTGTGTATCTGCTTGTGCGTCAGAGTGTGTACCTGTGCATCTGAGCCGCAACTTTAAATACAAATACACCCCTCCATTCAAACTTCAACACTACATATGAAACACACTCCTGCATTGAAACGTCAACACTACATACAAGCACACTCCTACATTCAAAAACAAACACTACACATAAATGCACACTTGCATTCAAACTCCAGTACCACATACAAACACATTCACACAAACATACTCCATACAAACACATGCTTACATTCAAACATACTAACATGGCTCAGTGCTAAATACAACCCTGCAAGCATGGGAAATTGGTAGAGTCCCAGCTGTCAAAGCATTGTTGGAGTTGCACGACAGATGGGGTTCTACCTTTAGTCCAACCTTGCAATTGGGGGTCCCAATAAAATTCATTCTACTTTAGTACCGCCACTGCGTTGGGATAGATGCCGTGATTGCATACCAGGGAGTGAGGGGCGAGAGCGGCAGGGCACAGGGGGCCCAAGCAAACACTTGCCCAGGGTCCATTCATTATTAAAGACGGCCCTGCACAACAGCACTATCAAGCATAGTGTGCTAAACATAGAATATCAGTAACATGGCATTAGTAGGGATTGCACATTTTTTGTATGATAACAAACGAATAACAATAGTAGAGTGATATTTGTCAGTAGTTGAGGGATTCACCGTGGCTTAGTTCTTAGGTTATCTGAACTGACGTATGTGCCCTAGGCACTGAGTGAGTGACCAAACATATATGGTCTAGCTTAAAATGTATTAGCAAGTTATGGGAATGCCTCAAGTTCAACATTATATACATCTTTACATTAGGGTTAAGCTTGGTGACGCTTTTCATTCGTTAAAGAGGGTGTCAGAGCCCTAAAGTTTGCTATTGTGGCATTCTAGATTGTGTTCCTTGCTTGGTATGCTGCGTGAATCATGCTGTGTGGGCTGGAGGCAGTGTGCCTGGCTGAGCACAGTTGGAGTTTATGCTAGGGCAGGTAATAATGAGCTTAGATCATTGTTTCTGGGTTTCGGCTTAGTTACATGAGTCCGCCAGGTTGAGCAGGATTTGTGTGGACAGCGCCAAAGTTGGTCAGCAGGTAGTTCTCCTGCGGCTCTCGCCACTGTGCGTTCGCTTGGTAGGTGCCGCTTGTGCCCTGGAGCTGCAGTTTAGCCGTCCTGCGCTGTGCGTTGACGTATGGTGGTGGTTATGGTGTCGTAGGTCCGGTCTGGTAGGGTGGGCCCTTTCTAGCTGGACGCAGGGTGGGTGGCTTGTTGTTCGGTCCCTCTGGCCTGTTTTGTCGGGGTTGGCAGCTGTAGGGTGTGGTGACCCCTGTGGGTCTGCTGTATAAGGGCAGTTCACTAGGGTCCCGTTTTGTGTATGCCTCTTTTCCCCTTATTGCTTGCCCACAGCCTGTACCTTGATCTTGCCAGCATAGTCCTCCAGTATAAGCCTGAATAGGCTGTCATGGTGGTCTGATGGTGCTTGGTAATTTCCCCTTCAGTCAGCTCGTTCATTCCGGCTGTTCGCACACATGGCTGGCTCACGGCGGCCATTTTGTTGATTATCGCTTGCTGGAGATTCCTTGCCAGGACGGGTGTTGATGCCCTTGTAGACCGGGATGACCCCCCGGTCTGGGGGGGGGGGGAGCGAGACTCCAGCCGGAGACCCGGGAGAGCGGCCGTCTTCCGCTCGCCCCTGTTACTGGGGGGTCTGTGTAGTACCGGTGTGGGTTGTTTGTCATGGGTGCCCTCCAATTTGCGCCGCCCGTCGGGCCCTGGAGTGGGAGCTTAGACACAACACGTCTGATCCCGTTGGCGGTCAGGCCCCGCCCCCCGACAGGATACCTTTTTTAACAATACCCACAGGGGCAAAACAAGTGGTCAGGGTTAGGGTTAAGGGGAAAACAAGTGGTCAGGGTTAGGGGTTAGGGTTAAGTGGAAAACAAGTGGTTATAGTTAAGGGGAAAACAAGTGGTCAGAGTTAGGGGTTAGGGTTCGAATTACCGAAGTGCCGAACCGAACTGAATGCCATTGGTCTGAATTGCCGAAGCAGACACATTTTTTTTTTACTTACCCAAATTTCCAAACCAAACCGAATTTTTTTGCCCATGCACATCCCTACCTCTTACTAAGTTCTGCTGGGGCTGAGCTGTGTGCATACATTTGATAAGGAAGTATTTCTGGCATGATGGGGCTTGGCTAAGGAGGCCAGCTTAAGTACAGCATTCTGCAAAACATTATAATTTTTTTTGTGTGCACCAAAACTATAAACTTTTAAAGCAGCACTGTCACCACCCCCCTGGAAAAATTATAATTTCATTTAGAAATACTCATATTGACTGTGTTAGAAATTCACTGAAATTCCAACCCAGTCAAGAGATATACAGAGACAAAGTAAGGTTTTTACTTTGTCTGTCTATTTCCTACGCCATCACCAATGACAGCTGCAGGGAGTTGGCTTTATCTATGGAGGATCTTGCGGGAACCTCCATAGCCCTCAATGTTGTACTTTTGGACATGCATGAGAGTTCAACAGTGATGCTGGGCCCTAGCGCTAAAGAGGGTTCACCAGAAGAACGCAGCGCTCGCTAGAGATAGGTTCAGGTAGGTAGCAGTCACCTTTACTTTTCTCCTGTAAATTGGACCTGCAGCGGCAATGTCACTGCTGCAGGTCTTTGAAAAGTCCCCAGACAGTGACAGGGCTGCTTAAAGCATGCAAAAAACAAACAAACAAGCATGTTAATGAGGCCAAAATCTATCAAATTTATGAAATTTGTGTTGGTGCCAGGAGCATCCCTTTAAGTTAAAATTTAGCCCACCTTTGGATCTGGCAAAATTAAAGGACGTTATCTGGAAATGAACTCATTTTATAAAACATTAAAAATCACCTATAACGTATGTTTAGGGATGCACCGAAATTAAAGTTCTGGGCGAAATGGAAACCGAAAATCCAGTATGCCCTTGGCCGAAAACCGAAAACGACTTTATGCCCAAATAATTTTAAAATAGTTTTTTTTCTATTATTTTATTAATATTAGACTTTTTACATTTTTTTTTTAATTTAATAAATCTAATATGAAAAACTACAAGACAATAAAATAAATAATAACCACACTTATTGAGAGTAATACACCAAACTTGGACAAAAAAACTATATAAATAAAAATCTGTTAAATCTGTTTGTTATATAGGACTGAAGAATAATATATATTGTTGATACTAATTTAATATCAATAAACAAACGTATTTTTCAATTTATTAGAAAATTATTATACAAAACAACAGTGCAAGAAACATCTTTAAAACCAACCTCAAACTGTAAACAGACATATATGAATACCAATCAAAGGTTGCCCCTTTTTACAGAGGAGTGTGTATAACAAAAGAGTCAAAAAGTGATTTACAGGCAGCTCAATACACTAGTGTGGAAATATCCTCTATTCCACTGAATAAATTTAGTAGATATTGGTGCGGTGTAAGTGACAAGGACCTACACCTATAAGTGGAGCGCTCAAACACAGATAAATCTTACCAAAACGTAGTCTCATTCAATGGTAAAATATGGGGTACATGTCAAAATAAAATACAGAAAATACAATATAGTGTAGACGGTACTAAAAAATGGCTTCACAGTGATTATAATAATATCGTGTTGAATATTACACTCACATTTCAAGGAGCCTGTATATAGAAAACACTGGCTCCGTATAAAGGCTTGTGTGCTGTTATGGTAGCACCACCCTCCTACTTCGGCTTGAAGAATTTCTCGGGAACACGAAAAAAAGAGAAGAAAGCAAACCAATGTGTAGACTTATGGTGATAAATGACACAGATATGACTGAAGCTGACTGAAGAAGCTCTATTTGAGAGTGAAACGCGTATTGGCCATTTTTAAAGGACTTTTATTTGAGGACTTTTATCATCTTTGTTTTTATGTTTATTTTAAACTAATAAATTCACCATTTTCATTCAATACCTCATCCAAGTTCTTTTTGGAGCCTCCAAGGAATCCTCACAGGGGTAGTGCCATCCCCATTCAAATTGGCACAAAATCCACATACCTAGAGCCGGGATTCGTAGGCTCAGGACCAGATGAGCACCCCATTTATTGAACACATATCTGTGTCATTTATCACCATAAGTCTACACATTGGTTTGCTTTCTTCTCTTTTTTTCGTGTTCCCGAGAAATTCTTCAAGCCGAAGTAGGAGGGTGGTGCTACCATAACAGCACACAAGCCTTTATACGGAGCCAGTGTTTTCTATATACAGGCTCCTTGATATGTGAGTGTAATATTCAACACGATATTATTATAATCACTGTGAAGCCATTTTTTAGTACCGTCTACACTATATTGTATTTTCTGTAAACAGACATAGCCTCAAGTCAAGAACAAATTTTTGCAGGGCTACACAATTTTAATGTAAATAAAATAACTACACACATGACAACTTGGACTGCTTTCAATTTAAGTAAAAGTGGCAGGTTTCTTTTCAAGAACAAAAGTTGCTCAGCTTTTTCGCAGGAGAGACGGTTCTCATGTTCTTCTCATCAAGAACATCTCATCAAGAACATGAGATGCTGCACTGAATAGTCTCTCGCTCTCTGTGCTGGTGCTTGGGGCAGATAAATATCTGCTTGCAATCCGTGCAAGCAATGGAAGGCGATCTTTGTTCATGCGCCAGTAATCAAGGGGATTGTCGATTCTGGTGATGGGTAGTTCAGCGAGGTAAATCTCCAGCTGTTTTGTAGCTGCACTAGTTGTGTCACTACTGTGGATCGGGGTGCTGCCTTCCTGTAGAATCTCGTCAAACATGTCAGAAAGTGAGGGAGTGTGTGCTCCTCGTCACTTGTACGTCGTGACCATTTCTCTGGCACACTTTGTTCTGTGCTGTGCATCAAGTCTCCTTCACCAGATGCTTCCATCACTTCCAACTGTGCCTGTATCATTTCTCGTGCACGCTGCTTTTTCTCCATGTCGAAGTAATGTTCTTTAAATCGAGTATCTAGTACTGTTGCAATGCAGTACAGGGGGTTGGACTCAGTGTCTTGAAAGCGTTTGTTAACAGCCTCCCATAGAGTGCTTTTAGCTGTTTAGACGCCGTGGGAATAACGTCAGCAACAGATGCATTAGTTGAGCTTATTTCCTTGGTTAACTGTTCAAATGGAGCAAGAAGAGACACAATATTTTCAATTAACATCCACTGATGTGCACTGAACGTTGCTGGCAGTTTGTAATCTGCCATGTACGCAGCTAAGACTCGCTTTTGTTCAAGTAGTCCAACATATATAATACGTGCTGTTCCAGTGAGTGGCTACATATTGCTGCAGTCGTTTGGGTGGCATTCCAAACTGTACTTGCAAAGCTTGTAATCGGGAATAAGCAAGCAGAGAATATTTAAAGTGACCCACAATTTTTCTCCCTAATGAGTTTATATCTCATATGCTGCGCTGACTCAGCACTCCCTCAATCACAGCCAACTGCAGCGTGTGTGCCATGCACGGTATGCTATTGAGGCCACTGTCCTCCATAGACTATACCATGTTCCGTGCATTATCTCGGACAATCAGATATACTTTAGACCTGTCAATGTGCCAAGTTTCAACTAAAGCCTCATATATCGCTGCTGCAGTAAGTGACCCAACAAACTCTTGTGCCTGAAGCAAAATTGTTTGCAATTTAAAATCCCCGTCTATCCACTGCGCTGTTAAGCTGACCATGCTAGTTGGACTTTGTCTGAGCTCCAATTGTCAGTGGTAAAACTTAGAGCTGGGATGTCTGTGTTCATGAGCTTATGGATGTGTTTTGAAACACGGTCAAACATTCCAGGTAGACAGGTTTCTGCAAAATAACGTCTGCTTGGCAGTGTGTAACGAGGCTCAATGTGTTGTAAGAGCTTACAAAATCCAATGACTTCCACAACAGAGAATGGCTGGTCACCTAAGGCAATAAATTCCATTATTTTCTCTGTAATGCCTTGTGCTTTGGCAC